GCCTTTTTAGCCCTCTGATCTCCTGAGTCCCTGGTTACCATGGTGACTCCCGCCTTTTTAGCCCTCTGATCTCCTGAGTCTCTGGTTACCATGGTGACTCCCGCCTTTTTAAAGTCTTAAGTCTTCAGTTATTTTGGGCTTTAAACTTTTAACTAACTTTTAACTCTAACTTTGTAGACATTAAATAGTAAATTAATATTTTAATTTATTCTGAAAGTTCCACATTTAGATTTGAATAAAGGATCATGAGTTAGTTTCAGAGGCTGAATGTTTTTCTCAGCTGTTTGATGAATCGTTGGTTTTTAGAAGTCTAAAGGAACTCTGTCCTGATTGGCCGTCGTCTCGTCCTCCTACGTCTCCTGATGTCTCATTGTCCTCTGACTGTCTCCGCAGAGTTTCTGGAGCCACAAAGCTGAAGAGCTACACCATGTAGGTTCCTCTCCGTCACTCCTGCAGGAACAGTTTCCGTTCGGGTCAGAACAGCAGCCCCGACTGGTTCTGCTCGGCCCGTGAAGAGACTTTTAGCTCAGATGCAAAGTTCAGTTTGTCCAGCCTCGTCTCCTGGATCTGCAGCTTTTCTGACGGTGAAACGTTCCGTTTCAGTCCAAACCCGCTGAAGAAACGGAGACGGGGCTGAACTCTTGGACTTGACGGCTGCAGGGACAGAACTTGTTTTGATCCGAGGCAGGAACGAGTCCGTTGTAAAGTAAACTGTCTTTCTGGCATCTTTTAGGGAGGAAATGGCCAAAGAAATGACAGAAATTCTGTCCAGGTGGGTGAAACCGTCCGATGGAGCCAAATCTCAACAATCACTTCACTTGTGTTGATTTGAGCCGAGCGATGGATGAATCCAGATCAAAGCCGATGATTGTCCCTGATTCCTGAATGTTTCCGTCACTTCCTGGTTCTTTAGACACGTCTTTCAGTCTTTCCTCACACTCTTGAGCTCAGCGGTGGATCCTTCACGGGGTGAACTGTCTCTGGCTCCATCAGGAGGACGTGAAGTCCTGTTTGGACCTGAGCTCTCGGCGCCGTTCACAGATTTAATTGTTTCAACGTTTAGTATGACGGTTTGTTTCTGTGGCAAACTTTATAACTTCATTCATCCAGCAGAGCGTCACGTCGGCCTCGCCTACGTTTGTAAACTGTGGTGCTGTGGAGAATCACCGGTTCTGAACACCTCCACGGTCCTGACCCGGTCCTGTCAGGACGGGGACAGTGTCTGGTTTTTAAATCACACATTTTGGTTTCTCCTCCCGTAGACCTGCTCTTCTTCCTCCAACTCATCGGTCTTCCTCACTTCCTGTTAGGGCTTCACCGAGGGAGAACTTTGGTTCTGCTCCTCCTGATCCACATTTATGGATGGAGACGTTGTTTACAATCATCCTGTTGAAGATCTGAGACTAAACAAAGACACAGTTCAGCTCTGTGGAAACATAGTAATAAATATCTTACCTGTTGCAGGTAGCTTGTTGAACAGTTTGGAGAAGCAGGTTCTTTCTGATGGGACTGACGAGCTGGTCAGAGTGAGGCTGAGTTTCACATCGATTCATGCAGATGTTTTTATAAACTTTTACAGTTCATTCAACAGGAAGTGCCACAGCTGTTTGTCCATGTAAAATATGTAAAAGTTGATAAAACAACATTTGGATGAAGCATCGTGAGGTTTGCTTCTGGTGCCGCTCAGACGAGCCTTTAGCTCATCGGGTCAGAATCAAACTTTATTTCCCCGAACTGAGCTTCTTGGGCAGGTAAGATGTTTACTACTTCTACACAGAAACTTCAGCTTTGTGTAAAGTTTCACTCCATGAACATACAGTTGGACTCTTCTGGTTCTGTTGATCCATTAATAGTGTAATGGTTCCCTCGGTGAACTCCACCTGAGCCCAACCTGATGGGACCTCTGCTCTGGTTTCCCAGAGTTCTCAGCGCTGACTTCCTGTCTCTGTGTTCTGTTTCCTGTCAGAGGTCCGCAGGTCCAGGCCTCCAAGGCTGCCGCCAACGCCAAGAAGTTTGAGCTGAGCAAGTGGAAGTACGCCGAGCTGCGGGACGCCATCAACACATCCTGCGGTGAGTCCAACAGAACCCGGCCTGTCTGTGTTCTTCACCTGGACATTTGCAACAGCTGATGATGTAATCCAGATTAGCTCAGGTTCTGGATGAGACAGGTTCTGAGGTTGCAGTTCTGGGTGGACTGGGCCGAGCTTTATTCTGCAGTCAGAGGAGAAACAGGAAAACAGAACTAAGAGAGTCCCAACATTTTTCAGTCAGGTCATCTGGACAGTTTCTTTTTTTGGCTGAAAGGTTTCTCCTTCCATCCAGAAGGCTTCATCAGTCAAGGAAACACACAACACAAAACTGATTCATCCCCCAACAGCTTAATCCAAAGTGGAACAAACCAGTTATGTTGGTGCTAAGATGGTGTCTTTGGCACGCCCCCTCCTCCAGTGCCGGCCCTCTTCCTCATCGACTGTTTAGCACCAACATAACTGGTTTGTTCCACTTTGGAGTAAGCTGTTGGGGGACGAATCTGTTTTGTGTTGGGCGTTTCCTTGACTGATGAAGCCTTCTGGATGGAAGGTGAAACGTTTCAGCAAAAAAAAGAAACTGTCCAGATGACCTGACTGAAAAATTCTTGGATCGTATACCTGGATTATTGAGCATGGACTTTGTTAGAACTAAGAGAGGAACCAGGGTTAAGAACTAACGATATTCTGCTGCGGTTCTGTTTGTTCTGCAGACATCGAGCTGCTGGCCGCCTGCAGGGAGGAGTTCCACCGCCGGCTGAAGGTCTACCACGCCTGGAAGTCTAAGAACAAGAAGAGGAACGCTGAGACGGAGCAGCGAGCGCCCAAATCTGTCACGGACTACGGTACGACAGGAACTCCCTGCAGCTGGACCGTGGTCCTGGTTCTGGCTGTCCACCATGGCTTCATCAAGTCAGAACACGAACGTCCATCTTTGATTCTCCCTATCACACCAGGACCTAATGGTCCCTGTCTCGCCTCGCCGCGTTGCCATGACAACAGAGAGCTCTCATTCAGAACCCGTCTGTGCGTCGACGGCACCGCCGTCAGCCTTCATCCTCGTCTTCCTCAGCCCAGTTCATCAGTCTGCTTTTAATGGAACCTCTAGTTCTGTCCAGACCTCTGGTTCTGTCCATTCCTCTGGTTCTGTCCAGACGTATGGTGCTTACTGGACCTCTAATTCTGATTGAACCTCTGGTCCTGACCGGACCTCTGGTCCTTACTGGACCTCTGGTCCTGATTGGACCTCTGGTTCTGTCCAAACATATGGTCCTGATTGGACCTCTGGTTCTGTCCAGACGTATGGGGCTTACTGGACCTCTAGTTTTGACTGGACCTCTGGTTCAGATTGAACCTCTGGTCCTGACCGGACCTCTGGTCCTTACTGGACCTCTGGTCCTGATTGGACCTCTGGTTCTGTCCAGACATATGGTCCTGATTGGACCTCTGGTTCTGACCGGACCTTCAGCTTTATTCAGATTTATAAATGTTAACATGCATCAGAACTTGGGTCCTGTAGCTTCAGGTCAGCTGCCAGACTCATCGTACCTGCTGCTTTGGCCACTTCATACCCAGACTCTGGGTCGTATTGGACTCGGCCCAGTTGATGGTTCAACTTTTATCATTTAATCTACAGGACAACAGTTTTTTACTCAGAACTTGGGACCTTTTATAACCACATTGTTTTAGAACTTGCCGCTTAGTGACGGGCTCGTTACTGACGACTTATTAGTGATGGGTTCATTAATGACGGGCTCATTAGTAATGGACTTGTTACCGACAGGCTCGTTGTTAGTGACAGACTTGTTATTGACTGGCTCATTAGTGACGGACTCATTAGTAACAGGCTCGTTAGTGATGATCTCTTCAGTGACAGGCTGCTCATTGGTGACGGGCTCGTCGTTAGTAATGGACTCGTCGTTAGTAATGGACTCGTCGTTAGCGACAGGCTCTTTAGTGACCGACTCTTTAGTGACAGGTTCGTTAGTGACAACTTGTTAGTGACGGGCTCTTTATTGACAGGTTTGTTGTTAGTGACGGGCGTTTAGGTGACGAGCTTCTCGTTAGTGATATACTTGTTAGTGGCAGGCTCGTTGTTAGTGACGAGCTCTTTAGTGACGGGCTCTTCGTTGGTGACGGGCTCTTTAGTGACGGGCTCTTCATTAGTGATGGGTTTGTCGTTAGTGATAGGCTTGTCGTTAGCAACAGGCTCTTTAGCAACAGACTCTTTAGTGACAGACTCGTTAGTGACAACGTGTTAGTGACGGGCTCTTTAGTGACAGACTCGTTGTTAGTGACAAGATCTTTAGTGACGGGCCCTTCGTTGATGACGGGCTCATCGTTAGGATGGGCTCGTCGTTAGTGACAGGCTCTTTAGTGACAGGCTCATTAGTGACAAATTGTTAGTGACGGGCTCATTGTTATTGATGGGCTCATTAGTGACGGACTCGTCATTAGCGACATGCTGTTTAGTGACAGACTCTTTAGTGACAGGTTCGTTAAGTGACAACTTGTTAGTGATGGGCTCTTTATTGACAGGTTTGTTGTTAGTGATGGACTTGTTAGTGATGGGCGCTTAGGTGACGAGCTTCTCATTAGTGATATACTCGTTAGTGACTGGCTCGTTGTTAGTGACGAGCTCTTTAGTGACAGTCTCTTCGTTGGTGACGGGTTCGTCGTTAGTGATGGGCTCGTTGTTAGCAACAGGCTCTTTAGCAACAGACTCTTTAGTGACAGGCTCGTTAGTGACAATTTGTTATTGACAGGCTCTTTAGTGACAGGCTTGTTGTTAGTGACGGGCTCTTTAGTGACAGGCTCGTTGTTAGTGACAAGCTCTTTAGTGACGGGCTCTTCGTTGGTGACGGGCTCATCGTTAGTGATGGGCTCGTCGTTGGTGACAGGCTTGTTACTGACAAATTGTTAGTGACGGGCTTGTTGTTAGTGACCGTCTCATCGTTAGTGACTGACTCGTTAGTGATGGGCTCGTTGTTAGCGACAGGCTCTTTAGTGACATGCTCGTTGTTAGTGACAAGCTCTTTAGTGACAGGCTGTTCGTTGATGACGGGCTCTTTAGTGACGGGCTCATCGTTAGTGACGGGCTCGTTGTTAGCGACAGGCTCTTTTGCGACAGACTCCTTAGTGACAGGCTTGTTAGTGACAACTTGTTAATGACAGGCTCTTTAGTGACAGGCTCATTGTTAGTGATAGGCTCGTTAGTGATGGGCTCTTAGGGAACAAGCTTCTCATTAGTGACAGGCTCATTGTTATTGACTAGCTCTTTAGTGATGGGCTCTTCGTTGGTGATGGGCTCTTTAGTGACGGGCTCTTCATTGGTGATGGGATCGTCATTAGTGATGGGCTCGTCGATAGCGACCGGCTCTTTAGTGACAGGCTCTTTAGCGACAGTCTTTTTAGTGACAGGCTAATTAATGACAACTTGTTAGTGACGGACTCTTTAGTGACTGGCTCATTGTTAGTCATGGGCTTGTTAGTGATGGGCTCTTTGGTGTCGAGCTCCTAATTATTGACAGACTCATTAGTGACATGCTCGTTGTTAGTGACAAGCTCTTTAGTGACGGGCTCTTTAGTGACAGTCTCATCATTAGTGAATGGCTCGTCGTTAGTGATGGGCTCATCGTTAGTCATGGGCTTGTCATTAGCAACAGGCTCTTTAGCGACAGACTCTTTAATGACAGGCTCGTTAGTGACAACTTGTTAGTGACGGGCTCTTTAGTGACAGGCTCGTTGTTAGTGACAGGCTCGTAGGTGACAAGCTCGTCATTAGTGACAGACTCGTTAGTTACAGGCTCTTTAGTGACAGACTCATCATTAGTGATGGGCTCATCGTTAGTGATGGGCTCATTGTTAGCGATAGGCTCGTTAGTGACAAATTGTTAGTGAGGGGCTTGTAGTTAGTGATGGGCTCGTTAGTGATGGATTCTTTGGTGATGGGCTCGTCGTTAGTGACTGGCACGACGTTAGTGATGGGCTCATCATTAGTGACTGGCTCATTAATGATGGGCTTGTTGTTAGTGATGGGCTTGTTGTTGGCTACATGCTCTTTAGTGACAGGCTCGTTGTTAGTGACAGGCTCTTTAGTGACAGGCTCTTCGTTGGTGGCGGACTCGTTAGTGACGGGCTCGTTAGTGAAAACTTGTTAGTGATGGGCTCTTTAGTGACAGGCTCGTTCTTAGTAGCGGGCTCGTTAGTGACAGGCTCTTTAGTGACGGGCTCATTAGTGACGGGCTCGTTAGTGACAGGCTCGTTAGTGAAAACTTGTTAGTGGTGGGCTGTTTAGTGACAGGCTCGTTCTTAGTGACGGGCTCGTTGGTGATGGGCTCGTTGTTAGTGATGGGCTCGTCTTTGGCAACGGGCTCATTAGTGACAGGCTCTTTAGTGACTGGCTCGTTAGTGATGACCCCGTTAGTGACAGCTTGTTAGGCAGAGGGTGTTTGTTTGTGTTTCTCCTGTTTCCTGTCTGACAGGAAGCTGCTCTGTTAACCTGCCATGTTTCCTTTCAGATCTTCCACCTCCGGTGAGCAGAGCCAGTAAGTCCATCTGTAGTGTCTAAATCCAACTAACCCCCCCCTCCTCATTAACCTCCACCCTGACCCCACCCGTCAGTGTGGAGGTCTGCTCCTCGGTGGGACTGCTGCTGGTTTCAGCTGCTCTGCTTGATGGGAGGCTGTTTGAGGTGGAGGGGTTTCCATGGTAACCACTGCCTCCATCTGTGCGTGTGTGATCTGGACGATTGTCAGGCGGTTCTGTTCAGAATCCTTCGAGCTGCTGAAGCCGCGGTCCTCCATGGAGAAGGAAGCCGACGACTGATGCCATTTTTTTTTTTCCAGCAGTGAGACGAGAGGAGAACTTCAGCCAGCTCATCGGCTCGTTGTCAGTAAATCAGGAACCTGGACCTTTTTTTTACCTCTTTCAACTGGCCGGTCAGCGTGGCTGGTGATCCAAATTGGATCGCCAGCCGTGCGCATCCGCTGACACAATCAAAATCCCGACACCGACTCGGCCCGCCCATCCAGCACATTATTTTGGCCGGGCCGGTCTGGGTGCGGGCCCGGGTTAGAAATGACAGCTGTACCTGGAAGTAGAAGAAGTAATCACTGATCCAAGTGACTCCAGCAGGCAGTGAAGCTCGTGTCTCTGAAGAGTCTAACTCAGACTAAGAACTTAAACTTCAAGTATTTTTATCCTCATCATTCTGGAAATATTTCACCTTTAGTATCTTGATGCACTTCAGTGTTTAGTCGGGGATAACCGTGTTTTTAACCTACACACTGATTCACTGATGTAGCACAAAGGTTAACTCGTAAAGTAAAGGTGCACGGCGGTGTAATACTTAAACAACGAGTTAACTTTTCTCTGCAGCACAGCTGATTTGTAACAGCATCAACCCTCATCTATCCAACACGGTGCTCTGTGAAGTTCTGGTTCTGACCATTACACAACTGATGGCTTCACTTTGGGCCAAATTCAGTTTTTTGGTCTGCGACCAACATAGCATCTTCCAAGATGGCGGCCATTTTTCGCTCGTTTGCACAGACAGTTGGTCGTTTCAGTGTTTCTTTATCTCAGTGGCTTTAAACACGTTGATGGCAGAACTTTGTTTTAACAGGAAGTTTGAATCTTAAAATATTTCTGAACATGTGATTGAAGATCCAACTTTCTGTAAAACACGGCCTCAAAGGGACGTTTTTCACCCGTTTCCTGCCGTCAGAACCTTAAGAGTGGAGTTTGCAGAGAGACCTCTCTTTGTGTAGAAGGTGATTGTAGTCTCCAGCTGTAGTCGATGAAAATGATAGAGCTTTCTGTTCCTCGTCAGTTTGCTGAGCTTCATAAAGTCCTGCTGCGCTTCACGTCTCGCTGGTTTCCCTCCTCCTTCATCAGCACCGCTGTGCTCTGCGCTGACCCTCCTCTGGCTCTAACAGCAGAATCTTTACATCCAGGATGGGAAGTTAAAGCACCGAACAGATGGTCTTCAAAAGAAAACACCTAGCAACACTTAAAGCACAAGGCCAGCACAATCCTGACGCTCGTGTTAGAAAGCCCAACTGGAAGTTGTGTATCCTTTATTTAACCAGGAAAAATAACTCATTGAGATTAAAAACCTCTTTTCCAAGAGTGACCTGGCCAAGACAGCAGCATAAAACCTACAACAAATCCAAAGTCCTAAACCAAATACACAGAATACATGTCCCGGACAATAATTACACATTAGAGCAGTTCCAGTGATCTGAGCTCTCGTTCCTTTAGAGTCGATTTAACTTGTCCCAACGCAACAAGAGATGAGAACGTTACATCCTCCTGCACAATATTCCAAGTGGCAGGGGCAACTTAGAACTTACTTTAGTACTGTTTTAAAATCTGACAGAGTAAGACTCTTGTTTTGTAAGGAGTTATTTTGAAACTCTAGGGTCAGTCCTCGTTCTTTTTTTGCCGACCCTCTGACTGAATCCTCCTGAACATCAAAGGTCCGATCGGAACCGACATGAAGGATCTATGGAGGCGGCCATTCATTCATTCAACCTTAATTTAGACAGCTTAATCCCATTGAACCTCCAGGACTCATTTACAAGAGAGACCTGGCCATGTTGAACTAGAGGAGGAAGAAAAGCATGCTGGGTAATATAGAAAGTCACCAGTTGCCCTAGTGATTCCCGCCTTTTTTAACCTAAACTTTGCAGAGTCACTGGTTGCCATGGTGATTCGTGACTTTTGAATACTTTGATATTAAAAATAAAATAATTTATTAAAATTGGTTGTTAGACTAGATCTGTAAAAATCCTGTTAGTGTAATTATAAGGCATTAATTGAGATGTTTAGATTAATTGTGAGTTTTGTTTTTGAGTCAGTTGTTTGGAGCTAGAATCATCATTAAACGTGGAACTGGTCCAACCAGTGACTCTTCGATGTCTCCATCCAAACTCTTCTTTCACATCTTTAAATCTCACAGTGATAGTTTGTTTTTAAAGTGAGAACAGACATTTTGAGTCCGTGAAACTTGAAGCCAGATCTGTCAGAATGTCCCCATTATCCTGGTCCAGATGAAGCCATCAAGTCCAGCTCCTGTTTCAGGCTCCAGCCAGAAACAACAGCCGCACCACATCTGACCGTCCAATGAATCATTGATGACATGTTGACACACAGCAGTGATGTAACCATGGAGCTCAACTTTCCCATTTCCTGGATGTAAACGTTCCCCGGCTGCTGCCGGCAGTCCAAAGTGTCTCACTTCTGTTTCCTTCAACAGCCCAGCAGAACCCGGCTCCGCCCGTTCCGGCCCGGCAGTACGAGGTGGCCATGAACCGGCAGCAGCGCTACTTCCGCATCCCGTTCATTCGACCGGGGGACCAGTACAAGGACCCCCACAACAACAAGAAGGGCTGGTGGTACGCGCACTTCGACGGGCCCTGGATCGCCCGGCAGATGGAGCTGCACCCGGATAAACAACCCATCCTGCTGGTGGCGGGTCAGTACCACACCGAGGGGATGGGGATGTTCCTTGGCTTCAGTATTTTAGTGAACAAATGTTAATAAAAACATTTTCAGGTTTATAGAATCACAGTCATTTCAATGTAAAGTCCACTTCGGACCTGAAGAGATTCATTTTGTGTGAAAGTGTAGCGTGTTAGCGCTGAAGCGCACGTGTTCCTATGAACAGGAGCCGAACACCAGCTAACAGCTAAAAGTAGCACGGGGCTAGTTGTTGAACTGCTGACTCAGCGCTGGAGGTTTCCAGGTGAACTCTGGGTGAACTCCGTGCAGCCACTTCTCCTCCGCACTCGACGCTGACCGGGGGTCAGTCTGTCAGCTGCTCGCGCTCATGTTTGGCTTGTGCAGGCGGCCATTTTGAGCAGCGGCAGCGTGTGGGAGGAGCTGCCTCTGATGACACTTCAGCTGCTTGTTGCCTTAAACAGCTGCTGAATATGTTGAGTGATCTGAAGGAGAGCTGAGTCCTCTTCTTACAGCCGTAACTGTCAGCACCTGGATCATTTGGTGGAACGTTCCTCTTTTATCCGCACGCTGCACCTTTTATTTCAAGAGTTAAACGTCCTCCTTCGAGCTGAGAAGAGCAAAACGAACAAGCAGCTCCGTACGGTCACCATGGCGACCGAACACCTGCGTCTGTCACACCCAGAATCTGATAAGTCACTGGTTACTATGGCAACTCCCACCTTTTTTGGAAGGCAGGAGGAGGGGCTTCATGTTTAGGCAGAAACGCAGAGTAAAAAGTGATCCTCAGACAAACCGGCTCTGTGTGACCCGTGTGCAGCAGCAGGTTCTGTTGGTACCGCAGGTTCTGTTTGGTTCTCATGGTGAGTGCAGCACCGTTAAAGGACTAAAGTCTTGGTTTATTAATGATTTGGTTCTATAATAACGGATAAATCAAGTTTTTCTGAGGAAACAGTCCAAACTGGACTTTTCAAGTCTGGAAGTGAAGTTCAGATGTTTCCAACGTTCGAACCTAAAGTTTGTGAATAGTTCGACCCCCCAGGAGGATAACTCAGACCCTTTGTTCTTCCAGGGAAGGACGACATGGAGATGTGCGAGCTGAGCCTGGACGAGACGGGTCTTTCCCGGAAGCGGGGCGCCGAGATCCTTCCCCGGCAGTTCGAGGAGTTCTGGGAGCGCTGCGGGGGGGTCCAGTACCTGCGCAGCGCCATCGAGAGCCGGCAGGCGCGGCCCACCTACGCCACGGCCGTGCTGCAGAGCAGCATGCTGAAGTAGGGGCGGGGGGGCGCTGCAGGCCAAAGGGACGACTGCGGCAGCGACCCGACCCAGACGGTGTCTCAGCCCCGGTTGTGACCGCGGGACGCTCGGCGTGCACGGCGTGCACGGCGCTTCCTCTCACTGTCTGTTCTTGTTTTTGTTTGTGGGGGAGGTTTGCATTAAACCCTATGCAGGAAAGAAATAAATCACAGCAAATGATCTCGTCCGGTTGTTTTCCGGTAATTTCTGTTTGTCTAACTGAGGCCTTAAACCCCCCCGACCATGTCTCTGAAATGATGCATTCCTGACGATCCTGACTGCTGGTCCTGACCCGCTCTGGTTCCACGGTCACTTCGTCCTCCAGATTTAACGTTTAATGGTTCCTTTGGGTTCTTTCGTTTTGGTTCTGATCCAAAAACTGGAGCTGCCCGGTGAAAAACGTGAATAAATGATGCAACAGATCCACTGCAGGACGTCTCCTGGTTCTGTTGGACGTCTCCTGGTTCTGTTGGACGTC